TTTACAATCTTTGAGAGATTGAGAACTAGTGCAGAAATTGAGCGTTTTGATGGAAATTCGGAAGAACTTTGGAACGAGATCGAGGATTTGTTGCGAAGAGTAAAAGTATTTGGAGAGGTGAAGAGAAAAAAAGAAACAATGCATACGCTTTATCAACGGAGGATCTCCGCAGTCTCTTGGCTCATCTATGCATATCGACAATTGTCCTGTCATAGCTCTCAGTTGATCATTCACAATTTGACTGTTAACGTAAAAAGTAAAAGTAAAAGTAAAAAAAAAGTAAAAAAAGTAAAGTTAAGTAAAAAAAGTAAAGGTAAGTAAAAAAGAAATTAACTTTATTTACGTAGTTTTTTGAAGTTACCGCATTTTCTCTAATAGTAGTGCACCCCGGCGAGCCGAGTTGTTGCCTATTTTACAGTTTCCCAGCTTTCCCAGAAGCTCAACACTCTAATCCCCCACTAGATCTCATCGTCAGCTACATTTTCCGACCCCACATCGATAGGTTCTGATAAGCGGTTCTCGAGATTTCGAGCAATTTAGACGACGCTCAGGGTGCACTACTATTAGAGAAAATACGGGACTTTGAATTTTCCTATAGACGACCTTAAAGATGTACGTATACTACAGACCTTAAAAATGTAAACACACTCTTTCTAGCGCACGTACTCCTTTATTTTTTTGACTATGAGAAAAAGTTTTCTCAAAGCAATCATTTGCTGTTGTAAGGCAATACAGAATTGAGTGATTATGTCAGAAAGTACCTCTAATAGTAGTGCACCCCGGCGAGCCGAGTTGTTGACTATTTTACAGTTTCCCAGCTTTCCAGAAGCTCAACACTCTAATCCCCCACGAGATCTCATCGTCAGCTACATTTTCCGACCCCACATCGATAGGTTCTGATAAGCGGTTCTCGAGATTTCGAGTAATTTAGGCGACGCTCAGGGTGCATTACTATTAGAGAAAATATGGTAACCATTTCATATCTATTTGTTAATCGATCGTAGTTAAAACTAAATTTACTCAAAATAATCAAAATTTCTTTTCTTTTTACTTTATTTAATGATAATGTCATTTGAAACATTTTCTATATTCTGTAAGGATAGATTCATACTTTAAACTTTTTCTTATATGTTTTCTTTTTATCTGTTCTTTTTGGTAACTTTTCATTGTCGATATCTTTGTTATAACTGTGATTTGGCTTGTGTTTCTTCTTGCTTTCTTTGCTTTTCCCTTAGCTTTCAAAGAAATAAAGTACTTGTGATACTAGAAGACACTATTTACGAAAAAAGATATGATTTCTTACTTGCTGACTAACAGGAGAACCCCACCAGACCCCAGACATTGTTTGGCTGGAAACAGAGTGTTTCTGATGCACAATTTTTTGACTACCCTACGCTCGGTCAGTACGAAATGTCAAAATTTCTTGAAAGGTTGAAGACCGATAACTGGCACGTCAAAGAACAAATCAAATTCACAGTGAGGATTTTCTTAAGTTATTTCTTTACAGTATTTATAATTTAAGTTCGATATGTTTGGCTAAACTTATTTGATAAAAAAACATTTAAATATCATTTGATAAAAAAAACAAAAAGAATCTTGCTGCGAGTGGGGTTCGAACCCACGCGGACTTACGTCCATTGGAACTTAAGTCCAACGCCTTAGACCACTCGGCCATCACAGCACGGAGCTGCTTCGTTTTAAAGGCGGTAATATAACTCACTTTCGGGATCCTTTTTGAAAAGTTGTTTCCTGGGGTACTAAATGGTGAAAACCGGCCTAGTAAAACTATTTATAACCCTTGTAAAAAAAGTTACTAGGGTTGTAAAACGAAACTCCGCTCTGACTTTAAAATTTGCATTTATTTTGATGCCAATTTGGTGCCTATCAAAACTAATTGTGATGGGACACTAAAAAGCTTGAAAATACTTGCATCGTAATCATTTCCACCATAGTTCTTGAATGTTTATGCTACACTCTGCTATATATGTGTTTTTAAAAAAGTACAAAAAGCGCACGAATCTAGTAATAGTCTAGTAATTTTAAAACACAGACACGTCATATATAGCAGAGTGTAACATAAACATTCAAGAACTATGGTGGAAATGATTACGTTGCAAGTATTTTGGAGCTCTTTAATAGCATTTATCCTCAAAGACTCGATATTCAGCAGTTCAGCTGAATATCCAAAACAAATTTTTACCCAGGTTAATGCCTCTGTCTAAAAGGCAACGAAATTACGTAATGTAATTTAAAAAATTATAACGCCCATATAAAAAGGCAACTCTTTCCTCATTCTGGTTGAATTTTTTTCATTTCGCTTCTGAAAGTTTGATCTTTCTCTGGAATTATCCATACTTCCGCCAAATTGATTCAGTTGCATTACATTTTTGAGTGTCATTTGTTATCTATTTAATAATCTTGACGGTTTTCAACATCGTGTCTGAATAAACTCGGTTTTGGCATATCTAACAAAAAGCGCACGAGTCTAGTAATAGTCTAGTAATTTTAAAACACAAGCAATTCATATATAGCAGAGTGTAACATGAACATTCAAGAACTATGGTGGAAATGATTACGATGCAAGTATTTTGGAGCTTTTTAATGTCCCATCGTAATTAGTTTTGATAGGCACCAAATTGGCATCAAAATAAATGCAAATTTTAAAGTCAGAGCGGAGTTTCGTTTTACAACCCTAGTAACCTTTTTTTGCAAGGGTTACAACTAGTTTTACTAGGCCGCTTTTCGCCATTTAGTACCCCAGGAAACAACTTTTTAAAAAGCGCCTCGAAAGTGAGTTATATTACCGCCTTCAAAACGAAGCAGCTCCGTGCTGTGATGGCCGAGTGGTCTAAGGCGTTGGACTTAAGTTCCAATGGACGTAAGTCCGCGTGGGTTCGAACCCCACTCGCAGCAAGATTCTTTTTGTTTTTTTATCAAATGATATTTACAATTATAAGTTTAGCCAAACATATCGAACTTTACGCTCTTAAATTATAAATACTGTAAAGAAATAACTTGAAAAAATCCTCACTGTGGATTTGAGTAGTTCTTTGAAGTTCCAGTTATCGTTCTTTTATCTGCAGAATAGAAATCATTAGTAGCAGTCAAAATTATTTAAATAATAAGAAAAGGAGCCAAAATTTTGATATAAAAAACTGCAAAGTCTTAGTCCAATTTCAATGAAATTCGTGAATTGTGAGCGGTTTCCAGCTCTCCCCGCATAATCGTCTCGAAATTTGCAAACCCAATGACTTTGAAGCAAATTTCTTTACAGATCGTGTTTAAATATTTCGCCGTCACCCCATCGATATGAAAATTTGCCACAAAAATCCGTTTTCTCAGTAAAACTCTAAGCAATTGGTCGAGATTTCCGTAATTTTTCTTCATGGAGTAGGGGATCGGATAGTGAAAATTTCATCAAATAAAGGAGATGCACAAAAATGTTGAAATTTAAAGTGAAAGCTTTTGTGCTGTTCTTGTTGAGAATCGACAACATAAATGATTTCTATAAATCGTTGCCAAAAAAAAGCAAGTGTTCTCAATTTCGATCTCGATTTTCATCTGGCTGACCTACATGAACTGGCATAAAAAGTGGTGGGATTCGAGGAAAAGATAAGTCTCAAAGCCCGTTCAAATCTTAAACTAATGTTTATTTTCTTCGCTTTATTTCAAATCGGTAAGCTGTCAAATCTTTTCAAAACATTGACCTTTTCAGTTTCGGCTGAATATTTTGGAGTACAATTGGGTACTCTTGAAAATGGCAAAGCTGCTTTGAAAGCTCAAGTTTTTATTGCAAATTCTACAGCAATATTGCTGAAAGACTTTCAAAATGATTACGGTAAGCAAAATTGTTGTTTAAAGCGAGCTTAAAATTTTTCGATAACGGAATCGCTTTCTATTTTGCGAACGAATTCGAGACGAAAGAGCCGAGGAATGTCCTCGAGATTGAACAAAGTCCTGGAGGGGATTATATGAAGAAAATGTGAGTGCTGTAAATTTGATAAATACAAAAAGATCCTCAAAAATGCTATTTTAACAATTCTATCCGAATAGAAAGCTCTCAAGTACATCGATTTTTTTTTTTTTCCTTCGGTTTTCCACGGTTCTCTTCAGCAGTCGCCTAATCACTAACAAATTCGCGAGAAAAAAAAATGATCATCGTGGCGCCGCAAAAAGTGAACAGTTGGAAAACTTTTGGGATTGTTGATGCAAAGACAAGGGTAAGACGTTAAAAACTCTAAAATACATTTCATACATTAAAAATTGCACTTATTAACAAATATCACAGAGTTCAAAGTGACATAGGAATGTTTTTGGGCTTTCAATGTGAAAGGGATGGGCAAGATGAAGATTTGATGAAAAGGAGAGAGAGTTGGCTAATTATTAGACTGTTCAGAAAGTCTTTTCGTTTCTTTTCGTATTTCCTTTGAAAAATAACAAATTCACTAAATTAACCTATGGTTTGCTTTAAATAAAAAGTGTTTCTCTGAAAATTTGGCTATATACCAAACTTTTCGTGCTCTATCTATGCTCTATCTTCTCTATCTTGACACCAAAATAGATTCCCTTAGCTTAAAGTGCCTAAACCGTATCAACGAGCATCATTTTTGACTACCCGTCTTTAAGCTTCCAAAAAAAATGCAGGCATGAGATTTTAAACTTTATTAAAAGATTACTTTAAAATTTTAAAAAGAGTTTTAAGGTTATTTTGCAGAAAAATAATTGGCCTTTCTAATGAAAAAAAACCGTAGTTTAATTGATGCATTTGTTGGTTATAAACGGAAGTACGAAAATGAATAAAAAGACTTTCTGGATAGCCTAATATAAGATCTGTTGCAAAGTTATCAAAATTATCAAAGTAAAAAATAGGACCCCTATGGTTAACTAACTGGTTTTGTGGTACCGGTATTAAGGAAAGGCAAATGAATAAAAGCGGATTAGTTTTTTTGATTGAGATTAGGATAAAATAGGTATCAAGCTAAATATAACATTTTTGATCACTCAAAATCCTCGAGATCCTCGTCGAGTAGCCGTTGACTTGAGGCTCGATCACGGGTGGGGCGACTCCCCAAAGAACACAGTTTTGAGGAGATTATGCCATAGATGAGGAACCTAAATGCTATCTTTGAAAACTTTTCACCATCACTTATCATCATAAACGAATGAACCCAAGCTTGAATCCAGAGATGGCCCAACCGGACTCTTGGACTTGGGTCAGTATGCAAAGCCGAGTTGACCAGAGCCCAGATCCTAGCCCGGTCTGGATTTGTTACAGGCCCAAGTCTGGCTTCTGACGGACTGAGACCAGGTCTGCGCCAAAGCCAGGCCAAGACCTGGATACTGACCTCATTATTAGGAACAATTCTACCAAGTACTACTTGAAATTCTGAACCCTACTTGAATCTGGCTCTGACAAGTACATGCAAGCGACAAGTTTAAATTCTTGCTTATCTAGTCAGGTCCTGATCCGAAAATCTTTATGGGTCAATCCAGCAACAAAGTTAAGCAAGATCAAAAGATAAGATTTATGACGTGATTTGCTGGGAAAAATTGTCACTTACCAAAAGATGATGAGCATCAAAAAGACAAGCACTCCGAGAATGATCCAAGTGTGGAAACCGTCACGGAAAAACTCCATCATTCTCATTTCTTCAAAAATCTCGGAACTCGATTGTTCTAAAGTTTCTGATGACAAATTCCTTTAAAAATTGATCAAGCAACACTCCAAAGAAACACCAAAAATTTTCAAAAAAGCAAAGTTTTTAAACGAACCGTTAGTAAAAATCTTTTTTGCAACTTTAACTGAAACTTTTTCTGTTTTTGGATTGAAAAGGGCAATAGTAGTTGTTTACCTTTTTCGTCCAGTGTTGAATTGATGAAGAGTTTATTAATTAAATCGAGCATCACGCCGTTTGTCCAACCGAAACCTTCCTAAAATTGTTCAATTTCAAATTTTCTTTCCCAATGAAGATCTAAATAAAATAAAAAACTTGCATAAATCTTTTGAATTTGTTTTTGTAATCAATTTTGTAAGAAGCTAAAGTCTAGGTTTAAGCTGCTTTGATTTGATTTTTGGTGGTTCAAAATGGCTTGATCCCTGGACAACCAGTATTCTAAAAAGAGTAACAACAGTATTCTTTTTATTAAATTTTAAAGTACGAACTTTTCTTTAGGCCTTAATCTTTCAATTTTATCACCTGTACATAGTACTCTCCGCCTTCTCCCCTTGTTCCATCCGAGAAACGGGCATCGTATTTCTCCCAGATTGTCGCCGTCTAAAATCCTTTTAGTTGTCACAATATTTTCTAAAATACTGTAATAAAATTGTATCATGATCTTACCGTATCCTTGAGAAAAAATAATTGATAAATTACCACATTTGCCTTTGGATTGACGAGTCCATTTTTGACGGTGATCACGAAGCGTTTGGCTAGATCCCGAGCCTGTTTCACTAGCCAGAGGTCACCTAAAAGATACTAAGTGTTAAAATTTAAAATACTATGAAATATTTATCTATACAGTACCCGAATTAAGTAAACACTCGACAAATAAGTGCACATTTGGTGCCCAAACATTCGGGAAATCCCATTGTTGAGTGGATGAGACTTTGAGGGTACTTGGCACTCCGCCTGAAAAAAAAATTAGATAAGAATTGCTAGCTAATAACATTTTTATATGCTAATTTTAATCTACAGGTGAATAAAATTTAACCTGGATATTCCAATACACGATTTTCTTTCAGATACTTTCGGAGTTTGTCGGTTCGGTTTTGGTTGTATTGCTAAAGTTCAGGGTTAACTTCAACGAGCATAAAATCGATTGTATAGATCCAATCGATTACCCGACCCGGAAAATCCCCGAGAAATTTACAGCCAAATATCTTCTTTTTGCACGATTTACAAAACAAAAAAATCCCCATGTAAATGCCCAAATTCTTGTCTTGAATTTGCTGAATTGTGATACTGTGTAATTTGACTTTTTATTAGTGAAATTGATTCTGATTTCTAAAAAGCAAACGACCTTACCGTAACCAATAACGGAAAAACGTTGCTGGGATAGAAATCATTCCTGAATTCCCGTGTCTTCAAATCCAAATCCTGCCAAATCCCCGCATCCTCGTTCCATAGAATTTCCAGGCTCTCCAGCATTTCCTCATACTCTTTTTTTATAACGTTGACTATTCCTAAAAAGATGGTATAGGTCTAAGTTAGATAATTTTTATCAATCAAATCAAAACCAACTTCTCGTCTCCTAATTGTTTGTACAAATTTGACAGCACCCGAAAATTCCATCCAATGAAAGAGTTGAGGTCGACCGGGAGAATGGTGTTCGTTCGGATTGAGTACTTTGTGACTGAAATTTTTGGAAATTTTTAAAAATACAGTAACCCATAGTTGAACCCTTTACAATCCATGAATTAGACAAAGCTTTGTACCAGCGCTTAGGCTTTATAGGTAGGATTTTAAAAGTGAATCATTAATACAAGATTATACTTTTTTTATTTCCTATTTTATATCCTATTTTTACAAAAACTTACAAGCTTTCGATCCATTGTGATCAAACCATCGAGAGCTGAAATCCCATCCGCTCTCACAAGCTGAAGCGGTGCTGCTCCAGATCTAAATTGGATTTGATTTTCTTTGAAGTTTCCCATTTTCCTTACCTCTTGTGGATCGTAGCTTCCATTGATACCATTCTCGACATCGACCAGAAAATTTTCGGGTCGAGGGCAATTCGTGATCACCTGAACTATTGGATTTGCCACTAGACTTAAATTTTTACGATTATCTTTAATTAGGCAATTGCATTGCATTGTCTACCTTAATATTTATATCCTTTTAAAAGTACTAGACCTATATGTAGTAACCCATCGGAATAACAAAAAGATAGGTAAACTTTGAACTGATTGTGTTCAGCTTTTAGGGCACCAAGAAATAAAAAACTCTGTATGAACTGAATACTTTTAAATCAAGTCAACTATTCAAATTATCCACTGAAAACCGTTGCAATGTTTTTTGGCGGTGAAATGAACGGCAAGGGTGTATTTTGCTTCCACCGAAGACTTTAAAACTCTGCTTGGAAGACTGAAGACACTCTTTGCAGCCAATTCTCACTGTGGCTGGTGAGCTTGGGGTTTTATCTATATTAAAAAATAGATCTTCATTTTACTCACCCGATATTGAAACATTGTCCTATTCCGTCCATTTTTATCCAATACATTCACCGTCCTATTCTTCCTCCAGAATTGCATTTCTTTCTCCACCGTCGGCATCATCGTTTGCAGAAATTCGGTGTCTTTCGTCGCATAGAAATAATCGGCTAACATTTGCACGAAAAGTGGCGGTTGGCTTCTTCGGGATAATCTGAAGACAAAATTTTAATATTCTTTTCAAATTAGCATTTAAACTAGATATATCAATGTTAATCTCTTCCAAATTAAATTTACACAACTCACTGGATATTCCCGGAGTTCGGTATGAAGCCGTGATTATCAATGATAAAGCCAAAATTCATCAACATCCCCTTGACAGTTAACGTCATATTGGAGACCAAGAGGCCTAGAGTTTTAAATTGACATTAAAATTCAAACTTAAGCACGTGTGGCTGACTGGTTAAGTGTCTTTTATCTTAATCGGAAGGTCGAGGGTTCGAACCCCACATGCGACATGGTCACCCCCTTCGGATTTCCTTTCCCTTCGGGTTGAGAGGTTTTCTGGAGGGCAGTCTGGTGGTTGTGGCCCCAGTTCTTTAAAGTGACAAGCCACTCCTTCATCGTCATCTTCCCTTCACCACCAAAAAGCTATTTAGTTCCCCATTGAGCTTAGGGTTAGGGAGCCGTCTGTCATGACGTGGGTTAAGTTAAGATATAGCCTAGTATTGTGTGTGTCGTTGTATTGTGATTGATATATTTCGTGTATGCGATAAATTCACCACTGGTAGCCCCAGTCGGTATTTTTTTTTTAAGATAAAATTTGAATACCTTTTATGATCCAATACGAGTCCCAGTAGAAGTAAACTTGAAAGAAGCCACCGGGGACAATGAATGGATTTGGGACGACGAGCACGGGTAGCCGGGTGGTCAAGTGTCTCATCTAAATATTAGGTTGAGCACTAAATTTTGAATCTTTCATTTCATTATCTAAATGAATGATTCTTAAACTATCAAAGACCAAACGGTTTCTTTCATTAGAAATGTTTATCGCTCACTTTTTGTCATTTAAAAAAAATTTTAGTATTTTAGAATAATCTTCGAGAACGAAAACTGCTATTTTCCAAAATATTGTAAAATGAGCACATAAAGAAAGCCGCTAAACGGATTATTCTGAAATTTTGGTTGTAACTTTTTGTGGGCCTAATCTTTTTTATTTTGTAATCAAAATAGATTTCATTGAAAGAAACGGTCCAAATCGCATCATCGGACTTTGTCGTTTTTGAACACTCGGCTTCTGGCTAGTGAAAAACCCTCAAAACAAAGCTTCTCAAAAACTTTCAAAAGTAATTTGCAAGAGAAATGATTGGGCTATATAATGAAAAAAACTGTATTTCATTTGGTAGCTTGAGACTTATTCAATTAGAAAATGAATTTGGGTGAAAGATTTAGTACCCAACCTAATAAATGCAGTATTGTTTGGTATAGATAGGCCTATTTATGCAACATTAATTCTATTATAGATAGATCTATCTACAATAAATCGACAAATCACGATCTTGTTACAATCTTGGAACTCTTGGGATTGTGCAGTATTATCTTAAACAGACCCAAGCAAATTTGGGCCAGTCAAAGTCTAGAAGTCAAGCCAAACCCTTAGGGTAGGTCCTGGCCTAACTCTGAGCTTCAGAAGCCAAGCCAGGTCATAATTTAGTTAAAATATTACTAAGCCAATCATTAGCTTCGAGTACTCCTTTATAAAAAGCTTACATCCGGGACGAATCGTCTAGCCAGCGTTGACCATCGCGTGTGCACCAATTTAGCAAAAGTTCTAAACTTTTAGGATGAGATTTTTAGGTTTATATATCGTTTACTCTATTATATATATGTTACGCCCGTTATTCAATTCCCTTATCTATAATTCAACAATTTTCAAACAAACAAGTTAACAAGTTATACTTATTAACTCGTAAAACCATAGAATAAAAAGCAAAAGTCGTCAAATAGGTTGGACGATTCAATAGCGAACGCCAATTTTTGAACGAAATTTCAATAGCGAACGCCAATTCAATTACGGACGTAACGCATATATTATTTAAATTTGCCTACCTCATCTCCGGATCTCGAATTCTCGGCAAAAAGGTTGCATTCTCGACGTAATCGGGCAAACTTGTCAACTCCAAATATTGCTTTTTGTCAAAATTGTCGTCGCAGAATTTGGCGAAAGTTTCTTTCTTCATTGGGAATGATAATCTAAACAATTTTTGCATTTTGAAGGGTGATAGAAACTGACGCATTAAAATTGGCGAGGACTTGTTCGGGTTCGTATTTTAGCACCGGGCCCGGGCAATACTCTTGAAGACCGAAACGCCATGTTGATTCGATGATTGGGCCTAAAATTTTGATATACGAGAAAAAATTACTAGACATAAAAAAATTGCAACATTGCCTAACCACATTATATCATACACAAGTACTGCACCTTTCCTAACAGTGGCCATGAAACAAAGAAATTACTAAATCTTTTAACCCAGAAACACTAATTCTAAATGATTTGCTAAAACGAGAGGAATAAGAAGACGGTTGGTGGCTGGGTTGGATTAGCTGGCGTTTATAAAGAAAAGAAGTTTAGTTTTTTAATAACTTTATCGGTGATATGAAAGACACGGCTCCGAAGATCAACAAAGTGGAAAGACCGGGAAAAGTACAGAAATAAAACTAACAATTTTAAAAGAAATAGAGAAGGAGGGATGGAAACAAAAAGAGGAGAAAAAGTTTAACAGTAAACAAAATTTTATAAGGGACTAGAGAAAGGAGAACATACAGGCGCAAAAGACACGGGGAAGCGCCGGACCGGGCAATGACTCTTTAAAAGAATGGGGTGGGACAAATTTGACTTTTTTTTTTGCCCATTAGCGCACCTTTCTTCGCGTTTTAAAAAACTAATCTTAACTAATTTCTATTCCAAACTTTGTCTTTCTGAGTAATTTTAGGGCGTAGGAATCCAAATTTGAACATCTCAGCGCTTGAGAAATCAATTTTAAAGATAAAACGGGTAGGCAAAATTAGAGAAAATTTTCGATTTTTCCTGTATAACTCCCTGTAATAATGTATAACTCCGTCCGTTTGCTTCCACAAGTTCTGATATGTCAAAATTTGGATTCTAAGCCCTAAAATTACCCAGAAAAACAAGTTTTATTAGTTAATATTAGCTAATATAAAAGAAATTAGTTAATATTAGCTAATATTAGCTTTTTAGAGTTTTTAAAAGGCGAACAAAGGTACGCTAATGGGTCGAGTGCAAAAAAAAAAGGTGCGCAAATGTCCCGGGTGGGCAAAAAAGGTCGCATTTGCCTCACTCCCGGCAAAACGTTGGACCGGGCAACGATCTTTAAAAGGATGAATTTTGAATGGAAAGGTGGACGAAAAGGGAGACGGCGTCTCGAGTACGGTAGCTTAGGTGTATTTTAGAATTCAGGGTTGGAAAGTTGCCAACAAACGTAGTCGAACTGCGAGAATTGGTGTTTTACTGTCCCGTCACATAATATTCTGTTTTGCTTTTGACTGTGAGCTTACCCGAGCAATAAATCCCGGCTAGAGGGCCCTCACAGATTGGAATCGTGCACGTGACATTCCACGGTTTATCGATCACTTCTTGACCCTAAAAACTTCAAATCATGATTTTGTGTTCTTGATTAAACTTCTCAAATTTGAAAAGATTTTTGATATCAAAATTTCTTTACTTACATGAAATTCCTCTCCGATATCCAAACCGAATAATCCAATATGTTTAGCTGAGTGGCATTGTTGAAGTAGTGAAAGGAAAAGTAATAAGGCCGAGATTTTCATACAATTTTCTTGTAGAACGGCCTACAGGGGTCCAGTTTCTTAAAAAGTTTCAGATAAAAAAGAAAAATTTTAGATAATAAATTGAAATAAGTATAAACTTTAAAGCTTTAAGCGAAAAATTTAGCTGTTCAAAAAACAGAGAACAGAGACAGCTCTCAATAACAATTTTCGCTTCTTTTTTTCTTTTTTCTGTCTCGTTCACCTCAAAAACAAGTTAAGAGAGAGAAAAGAAAAAAAACAGCGATAGAGAACAAAAATCTGACTACAAAATACGATAAATGAGTGCCAAATATCTTTTCTTTTTGAGTGGTTTGGTAAAGAACGATAAAGCGCAATGGTTTTTAAGTTTTTTTTAATGATTAGGCAAAAAATAACGAAGAAACATCCGTGCCGAATTCTCTGATAGTATTGCGCAATACTATTGGGTTGGTGAATTGAAAACTGCCGGACTTTGAACTAAAATTTATTGAACATAAAACCATCAATTCATTCCAAATAATTTCCATTATTATTGACGACTTCTGCCCATTTTACAGGCAATTTGCGGATTCCTCTTTCGTAGTAGGATTCTGGTTTGTGTGTGAGACAAGTGTGAGACTCAAAAATGGAGGACTGGAGATGTCTCAGTTTGAGCACTTCCTTTAAAAGAAACCCATTTTGGTGTCAATAGAAAAATTGTAGAGAATCAAAAATTAGACTTATATCCAAATTTTCAAAAAGATACACTTAGTATTTTGGCTTAAAATGCAAGTTTTGTCCAAATTGGTAAATTTCGCCTTTCTTGAAAACCAGTTTTTGAATCGTTCTGAAAATTTGGATATAAGCTTGATTTTTGATTCTCTACAACTTTTCCATTGACACCAGAATGGGTTTCTTTTGAAGAAAGTGCTTAAACTGTGACATCGGACAATAGCCCGCAGTTTTCAATTCACCAACCCAATATTTTTCAATTCGAACTAGCTTGTCACTATTAGAGCGTTACAAAAGATAAACCGTTTGCACACTGTAATTTGGTGTCATATTTCTCAACTCTTGAGTTGATCAGCTAGTAAAATTTATGCTTTATGCTCTTTTTTTCATGCCGAGAAAATTCAAGCTAAGTTATTTTTCACTTTTTCTAAAAATATTACTAAAGTGTACATGCGTGTAGTTTTTTCTTGAAGTCACTTTTTGTTTACTTGTTGAATACTATGTTTAAGCGTTAGATTGATTTACGCGATTTTATGATGGCTTTTGACAGTTTATGGGTGTTTTTTAAGCCTTTTTTCGGTTTATTTTTATAATCTATCTATCTATCTAACGTTTAAACATAGCAAGCAAATCAGCAAGTAAACCAAAAAACCTAGCGTAAATTCTAGAAAAATTGAGCGCATCTACACTTTAGTAATATTTTTTAGAAAAGTGTAAAGTAAACTGAGCATGAATTTTTTTGACATAAAGTCATGAATTTTACTATTGGGTTGGGGAGAAGTCGGCGCCGAAATTTAAAGAAACTTTTTGCACCCATAAAACCTTCTTTAAATACACGTTTTGTGTCATCAAAATGGTCCACTATTTCTTTACAAAATGGCTTTTGAGAGATTCCACAAAGCTTTTCTTTTTTGGGATTTTATGGATTCCCAAACACAGCTAATCAAAATGACAAAAAGTCCGACTCATTGCTTGAACAGTTTCTTCGACATAAACCTCCTTTGGTGTTTATATAAAAAAGATAGAGCACACTCAATTACATAAGTTACCAAATTTTCAGGAAGATCCCTCCAACCGTTTACTCTAGATGACAGTTTATCGATTTTGTGAAAAAATGATCCTTTGTTGAGTTGAGGCGCTGTTTGAGTTCTCTTTTAAATATTATTTTGTAGAGAATTAGTTACCCTTCTACGGATATCAAACGCATATCATTTGACAAAGTCTGCTATAAGTTTTAGAAATTTCTTTGATTTTCGGCGCCGACTCATTCTCCCCAACCCAATAGTTACTCTTTAATTAAACTCATTACTATTAGAGAGGTAAATCTTCTCTAATAAAATGTGAAAATTCAAACAATGATAGTATTCAAATAAGTAAAAGATCGATTTTCATATGAAATTTCCGGTATCTGAGGAATGATTCGTATAAAAAAAACTGTTTTATCTAAATTATTGAGAATCTTGATTGCATAGCCTAAATATTGCTTACTATTGCTTAAAAAAGTTCAATTTATTTACCTTTCAATTTAGAAATAGAAATTAGTTCCTATTTGGTTCCTACCTCTTTTCTTGTAGTTCCTATTTAGTTCCTATCTAGTTCCTATTTAGTTCCTATTTAGTATTTAGTTCCTAGAACAAAACTGATAGTAAAGTCTGTAAATCATTTTGATTCGGTTTATTTTGAGTGAACTGTGATAAACCGGTTGTCTATTGGTTTATTGCAAAGCCAATTTTCGGAACTTGATAAAGAATGATAAAGTCAGCTAGTAACTTTTTAGGAAAAGCTTGCCGAAGTGAAAATCAATAAGTGGTCTCCGTCGGCTTTTTGCTGTATCAAGAGAGATGACACGAATATGGTAATAGAAGAGAAATCCATTCAGTTAATATAATCAATAACAAGAAAATTTAGAAAAAATGTATTCAGTTAATCTCATAAATATAATATAATAAATAAATAATTCAGCTCAGCTCAGCTTTTAGGCGATTGAAAACGGCGAATATGGGGCATCAAGCGGGCCGATTGAAGTGTTAGATCATAAAACTTTACGACTGAATAATTTCTCGTTGGACGGATCAAAACCACCTGGTCAGATTTGTTTAAAGGGAGGGCCGAATGACCATAAAAGAATTTTTAAGGCAACCACCTATTTTTCTATTTTAATATTGTTAATTTTAGTATAAAAAGAATAAGAATCACCCAGATAGAGTGATTTGATGGGTTTAAAAAGTTTTGAAGACGTTGCAAAGCTTGGAGAAAAGCAAGATCGTCACCCATCAAGCATCAGGCACGAATGATTGATGTCATGTTCGATCCATTTGTTTTCCATTCAATCTTTCTTACTTGTCTTGTTTTTTGACCAAAGTTTTCCAAAATCTGGGCATCTTTGTAATAGTTTTCTCCAATTGAGCGAATTCAACAATAGAAAATGCTGCCTTTTCGATTAGCTCTTCTTCCGCTTCTATTTTGTTTAGAAATCCTAAAAATATATTTTATGATAAGGAAAAAACCCAAAAATATAGATGAGAAGTCTAAAGAAAACAAAAAGAAAATATCGTGCGTGATTTTTGCTTTACTTTCGCATTTATCGTAGATGAACTATGCGAGCCTTGCTTTTTTTATTCTCCGAATAAAAGCCTCGGATGGACAGCCCAAAAATTTATAAATCCATCAAATCACTCTAGCTGAGTGGTTTTTATTCTTTTTACAATAAAATCAGCCGCTTTCCGAAAATTTGCATTAATTTCCATGGTGAAATTAGGTGTATCGCGATACACCTAATTGTATAAACTACACGATATATCGTGTAGTCGCGCTGAAAAAATTCTACTGAAACACCATCACTTCATAACTCAGCGGTTTTTCAACTTTTTCAAAATCTGACTTCAGATTCGGAATCAGCAATTTTTTTTTACTAAGATGGGCAGTTTTTAGTCCCCTAGTTCAAATCTCCGAATAAAAACCTCGGATGGACAAACAGACAGACAAACGAACCGTGTTATATATAATAAGATTAGCAATATTAAAATATAAAAACAGGTGGTTGCAAACAGGTTTTAAGATGCTTGGATTTACCTCGGGAAGGGTAAAATTGATACATCGACTGGACAAAAAGCGCTCGTTGTTGGAAGGGATACGAATTGGAAGTGAGATTTTGAGAAAAATGAGAAACTATGAAATCTAGCAAAGTTAAAGTATTATGGTAGCATTAAAGAACAAAAATTTTGCACTAGTTTATGTTATGCATTCTTTATTTTTCTTTAAGTCTTTAAGGCTTTCTTTGGATGAAGTCTTTAAGACTGAAACCTTTTGAATTATACTCTAACAATGCAAAGCAAAAGCTTTAAAAGCTACTCTGTTCTACTGCTAGTCTAGACTTTAAAAACTAAAACGTAGCTGATCTATTAGGTTGATGCAAAAGTCTTTTTCATTTTTTTCGTACTTCTTTTGAAAAATAACAAAGTCATCAATTAACCTATGGTTTGCTCTAAATGAAAAGTGTTTATTGTTCAATTTCCCATCTTTTTAAGTCAATTTGGGTTCACTTTCAAGCAAATTCGAGAGTGAAAACGGGTTTTTCATAAAAATCTATAAAAACCTCTATAAAGAAATTGGCTGAATCAATTTCTCTGAAAATCTGAAAAAATATCTAACTTTTTGTGCTCTATCTTTTATTTATTAACATCAAGATTGGTTTCCTTAGCTAAAGCTTCTAAAATGCATCATCGAGCCGTCGCCTTTTTTGACTACCCGACTTCAGGCTCTCAAAAAAATCTAGACATAAGACATTTTAAACTCGTTTTAATGTCATTTGCAGAAAAATAATTGGCCTTTCGAATGCAATAAACCGTTGTTCAATTGGTGCATTTGTTACTTTTTAACGGAAGTACGAAAAAAATGAAAAAGACTTTTGCATCAACCTAATACTAATTCTTCAACATTAGACACTGCGCAATTCACGAAGATCTGAAAAATCGTCGTGTCGAGATCCGATTGAAGGGAAATCAGACGGTCTACGATGTGAACTACCTATCGATTTTCTGTTATCAGTACAGGTAAGAAAGGAAAAGTTCAGAAAAAGTCAAAAAATTAATTGGTTTTAAGTTAAAAACTGTCTGGATAGATGAACGTTTAGAATGTAGCCAGTTCTCCTCTATTTTCGATGATCTTCAGTAATTGTTTATGCTAAAACAAAAAGTGAAAACTGACACCAGTGTTTTGTCTACAGTTAAAAATGAAATGTTTGATCAAATCATGAAATTTGGTCACACTTTATCCTGATTCAAATTATTAGGAAATCTTATTGAATCTAAAGTCAAAAATAGCTTGAAATTAAATTCAATTGATCAAAGTCTCAAAATTGGATATACTTTGTGCTAAAAGAAAGGCAAATACCCTCTTTCCAGTGCAGTTAATTCTTGCTACAAAGATTTGATGTTGGAGAGAGATGAAGGGATGTGATTAGTGCGCCAAGAGGGATTTCTTTACACTACAATAAATGTGACAGTAATCCAAATAGCCGTAGAGATTACTGTGACTTGGAAGCTTGGAAAATAACTTGGAAAAGGAGATATCTAAAAAGATTAAACGACGAAGCTCTAGGCTGAGTTACGGTAGCTGGAGGCATGATTTAGATTGACCGGATTCTGGTAGTTGGAAACGGTTTCAATTGACCGGATTCTGGTAGTTGGAAACGGTTACTGTATCTGATGCATGCTTTAAACTGACAAGGGAAGTGAGCAAGGTGGTCAAATGGCATTTGCTATATACCATTCGATGCAGAATTTCACACTGATTCCGAATCTGCTTTCCATTTTGCGTTACCCTATCAAAATTTATACGAGTTTAAAGTTTTACAAGGCAATTGGAACCAGGGCAGATCAAAAACTTGTGCGCCGGACTCAAACCCGTGACCTTTCGCTTACCTTGTGTACTTTGTGCTAAAAGAAAGGCAAATACCCTCTTTCTAGTGCACTTAATTCTTATTTTTCTTGCTACAAAGATTTGATGTTGGAGAGAGAAGAAGGGATGTGATTAGTGCGCCAAAAGGAATTTGTTTGCAACATAATCGTGCAGCACAAAGTACATCAAATAGTCAAGAACTTGTAAATGATCTTTAGTTTTGTTTCAGTGTCGATTTCGGGAATATTCGTTTCGTGATTGATCCCGTTGGAGTACCAGTTCCTTTCCATATGCCTCAACTCTCTGATCACGGTTTCCCAGCAGATCCACCGCCCATTAACTGTTAATCCTAAGAATTTCCAAGGTTTTTTATCATTTCAGCTGTTTCACAAACCTTTTAAAAAGTTAAACAAAAACTTTTAAGCATAGTGCACCGAATGCTCCAGTTTGACCTATTAACTTTAAAATTTCAATTTACGTTAACGTACACTTTATTCTTTATAATATTGAAGAATTAGTTTATTCTAATTCTATTCTGATGTCTATTGTTAGATGATTGTGTAAATAAATATGATTCTTAAACTTTTACTAATTGAAATTTTAATTGTATAACAAAATATCTTTATAAAACTTTATTGAAAATGCAATAATCGTACATACAAAGAGTTTCATAGAAAATCCAGGTTTGAAAAAATGACTTAAACTGAATAAAACACTTGACAACTTTTTCCGAACATCGACTAGGTTAAGGGCCTTTAAATCGTGACTCTACCGTAGCCCGTAACTAGTTAGTAAATGTTAGAGTCCCTTTTTTTCCGTATGTTTTTCCCTTTTTTCTCATTCGATCAGCATTTTGTGAAAAGATTCCTATCAGTGGGATAAAATAAAGTTTGTTAAAATTTTTACCTATTTCTGCCATTTTGTTTTATGGAAGCACTTCACATAAAGTAGATGTAACAGAAGTAAACGTTATCGATGCCAGAATTCTAAAACACGATATACAACATGATATTACCGCAAATGAAATTGTCTCCAAAATGTCCAGTGACTACAATGTCCAAAATGTATTCTTAACTAAATGTTAAGCGGGTTCATAAAATGGCGCCCAAAGCTCTATTTTCTCACTTGCTCATGTTTTCTCGTCCAAGAATTTTGAAATTTGCTCGTGGCGTCAGCTTCCTTTATTTTATACAGTCCCGTAACTGAATTCTATTATTCTCGGACTCGACCTGGTTTTAATTGTTATTCACGTGTTCTCCATCAACTTTTTTTTGTGCTTACTATTCTTAATAACTAGTTTCGATCCAGTTATCCATAATGAAGTGCTGATGACCGTCATTCTTCAATGTTGAATGTTCGTCCATTCGATTCCAGCGACTGGGAGGTGAGAGTCTTTCTCTTGTACTAACTTGTTCTATTTAGGTTGAATACTTCGTTGCATCTGATGCTGCGGCCATAATTGAATACACCAAACAAGTGCTTTACTTGGAAGATGACGACGTTGTTTTTGTTGAAGATGGAGCTCTGACTATTCATCGCATCAAACGCGGTTCGAATGACAAGTAGACGGCTCAAACAAGTACATTCACTTACGATGGAGCTTCAACAAATCATGAGGTATGCTTTATAGTTAGCCTTTAACTAATTTTCTTGTTTAGGGGTGATTCCAAGACTTTCATGCAAAAGGAAATCTGAGAGCAACCCGACTCTGTGGTTAACACTATGCGTGGACGGGTGCTTCCATCCGGGCAAGTCGTGCTGGGGGGAATCAAGGATTATGTCAATGACACTCGCCGGTGCCGCCGTATTATCATGGTATTATCCTCATTATTTATGTTTTCAGGTTGCTTGTGGAACTTCGTACAACTCGGCGATTGCTTGCAGACAAATCATGACGTTAACGGAACTGCCCGTTGTTCTTGAACTTGCCTCAGATTTTCTTGACAGAGTATTGCTTAGCTTTCCTACTTTCCTACTACTAATTTTATTTTATTGTTTAGCAAGCTCCAATCTTCCGTGATGACGTTTGCTTCTTTATCTTTCAATCTAGTGAAACAGCGGACACTTTGATGGCGCTTCGGTAGGTTAAATCTTTGATAAAACTAGTTATTGCAAGCCCCGAGGAGCGTTGCTTATTGGAGTCACTAACACTGTTGGATCGTCAATTTGTCGTGAATCCCATTGTGGTGAGTCAATTTACAGAACTACATGTTTACAATGCACTTTTTCAGGAACTCACATCAATGCTGGACCAGAGATTGGAGTTGCTTCCACAAAAGCCTACAGCTCGCAAATCCTGTCATAGATCAGGTTTGCTCTCGTCTTATCTGAAGATCGCATTTCAATAGTGGATCGTCGAAGAGAAATTATTGATGCGCTCAACAAGTTGCAAAAAATTCCAGGTACTCATTTCGATGTTATTAATATCATTTAAATCTACTTCAGATTCCAAAACGACTATTGGATTTGAATGAAAGAGTATGTGGCAATGTTCTCTATAAATTTCGCCCTATAATCCACCAATCTAAATTTGCATATTTGACGGGAAAATGTCTGAAAATGCGAAATTTGAATTTCAGCAGCAGCGAATTTGCGTTTAACGGCCAAATAAAAGTAAAGCGTGAGCTTCAAAAATTATCATTCCTCATCGATTCCATCAACCCATCGCCCGATGCCTACAAAAAGTTAGTTTCATTTGCCTTTCTTCTGTTATTTATTTTTTGATTAGGGTTTTCTTTTGCATCCCACATGCGTGGGATTTTTGTCTATTAATTAACTTTATTCGATCTTTTCTTACATCATGAAAATTTGCTTTTACTTTTGCACTTGTTCCGCGTTATTATTTTTCTTTTAGAGGTCGCTCCTTTGAAGCGTATCACTGGTGAGGATGGCCCGATCCCTTCTTGTACCTGTTCGTGCAGTCGACCAAAGAATCGCAAAGATGCACCAAAGGTAAATATTTATTTCTATCTTGTATTGTTCAGTATAATCTTTCTTATACTTTACATCTTGTACTTTAGAAAACTTTGCGGTGTGATGTCTACACAATGAAGAAGTTGAAGGAAAAGAAAGCCCCGTCGGGGCTAGCCAGTGTAAGTTTTTGCTGATGTTGTTATTTTGATGAAGGGTTTATATTTATTGCGTTTTCTTTAGCAATCATCCAACTCTGACTCCGAGCCCAAGAAGAAGATGGTCACTAAGGATGTTCGCAAGGTGCACAAGAAGGCCGCAGAAAAGGGAAAGGAAAAGGTTGAGACTTTGAATTTAATACTCCTGGTTTTTAATTTTGGATTACTAATATTTTTGTTTAGAAGATGTCATCCTCCTCAAAGAAGAAGGAAAGCAACAACTCGAAGAGCTCCGTCAAAGAGAAAGGAAAGAAGAAAACTGTGAAACGAGCCTGTGCCAAGGTAAAATTTCAGAGTTTATTAATGGAATTACTATTTTTTCATTTATAGACTCCAGTTTCTGTCCCGGGAGCTTCAAACAAGCGGCAACGCAAGGTGAGCTATTCTGTTTGCCATATCTCATTAATCCATTTGACTTTGCATGTTTTTTCTTTTTTGAGAGCTTTTTTATTTAGGACAACTCTCTTCAGCCTGCCATTCATCATGAAGATGTAGCCCTTATGGATATGGATGCAGAAACACTGGTACAGGTAAGCAGGGGATTTTATTCATGCTTTTAATTATGTTACTTTAGATTGGTCGTGATTACGGAATTGAGCAGTATAGCTCCGGTCGGCTGTCTATTGACTCTGATGATTTTTCGGTCGATGGCGTGGTCACTGGATACAACAAGCACTTGATGGTTCCACTAGTCGTTCAAAAGCCAAGAAGAAGGATCTGGTAGACCCTTACATTTGGTCCCTGTGTGACACCGGAGCTCCCGTCACCTACCTGTGTAAAGCCGCATTCAGAAAACTTCTCAAGGGAGATGTTACAAAGGACCGCTATGATGTTGTAATCCAGGTTTGTTCGTTTTTCCTGAAAACTGAATAATTTTCAAATGTTTAGATTCCGAACAACCTGATTACTGCGCCTCTTTCACCCGAAATGAAGTTCAAGGGAATCAATATTTTGGGGATGGGTGTGATGGCGCAATTGAATGATCTCGATTATTATCGACTGCAAGGAGAAAAAGTTCAAGCTGATCCGCAACTAAATCGTCTATTGTGTGAATTAACAAAAGTTTAAAGAAAATCTCAATCTTGATTTATGAACTAGCTTCTTGCACAAAATATTGATTGTTAAGTATGCCGTAAATTATGCCTATGGTTCCGTTTACGATATTGCCTTGCCTTTCCCGAAGATTCCAGTCCCATTTGTGCGGTATTGAAACGAACCTTGTCAACAATTTCATTCATTTGTTTCATTTCTTGCCTTTACGGAGTTAACTTTTTATTTACAGATAGTTGTATAATCAACTTGCAACAAGCAACAAAATGGCCAGAGCAAACGCTGTTGGAATCGATCTTGGAACGACCTACTCGTGTGTCGGAGTCTTCATGCACGGCAAAGTGGAAATCATTGCCAATGATCAAGGTTAACTTTGTATATTCTAATCAAAATGCTTTTAGAGTAAGCTTTAACTTCTTAATTTAATTGTAAACTCTGGTTGACTAGAAACGTTGTCGAAGATTTAATGATTTGCTTTAACTTACAACGTTTTAATTTTAGGAAACCGAACAACACCTTCGTATGTGGCCTTCACTGAGTCGGAGCGTCTGGTCGGCGATGCCGCTAAAAATCAAGTGGCAATGAAACCACACAACATTGTTTTTGGCTAGTTTCTATGTCTTGAGTACTGAATGTGTGAATTTAGATGCGAAACGTCTCATCGGTCGCAAGTTCGATGACCCAGTTGTTCAATCAGATATGAAGCACTGGCCCTTCAAAGTCGTCTCGGGCGAAGGCGGTAAGCCAAGGATTGAGGTCGAGTACAAGGGGAGAAAACAAGACCTTCACTCCCGAAGAGGTCTCTTCGATGGTGCTCCTCAAGATGAAGGAAACCGCCGAAGCCTTCCTGGGACAGACGGTCACGGATGCCATCGTCACCGTCCCGGTTTACTTCAATGACTCTCAACGACGGGTAAAGATAAAGATAAGGTTTCTTTTGTGTATTTAGCAAACTTTTAGGCCACCAAGGATGCCGGCACCATTGCTGGATTGAACGTGCTCCGAATCATCAATGAGCCCATTGCTGCCGCCATCGCTTATGGATTGGACAAGAAGGCCGCTGGCGAGCGAAATGTTCTCATCTTCGATCTTGGAGGCGGTACCTTCGATGTGTCGATCTTTACCATTGAAGATGGAATCTTCGAAGTCAAGTCTACGGCTGGAGACACTCATCTTGGAGGAGAGGTATAATCGTTCTTTTTTTTGGAATGATAAACATCTTCATTTTAGGACTTTGACAACCGAATGGTGGACCACTTCATCGGCGAGTTCACGCGGAAACACAAGAAGGACTTGTCATCAAACCCAACAGCCCTCCGTCGTCTCCGAACTGCCTGTGAGCGAGCAAAGAAAACCCTCTCTTCGTCGTCCCAAGCCTCGATCGAGATTGACTCGCTTTTCGACGGAATTGACTTCTACACCAACATCACTCGTGCCCGCTTTGAAGAGCTCTGCGCTGACCTTTTCCTTTCTACCATGGGTTCTGTTGAGAAGGTAATGTTTATTTCTGTTTTCTTGAAATTACTTTTTTATTTCGGGCTCTCCGTGATGCGAAGATGGACAAGTCATCTGTTCACGACATTGTCTTGGTTGGAGGATCGTCTCGTATTCCAAGGGTTCAGGAGCTGCTCTCCGACTTCTTCTCTGGCAAGGAACTCAAGAAATCGGTCAATCCCGATGAGGCTGTTGCTTATGGGGCTGCTGTTCAGGTAAGGAGAAGCTGATTGCCCTGATTTGGGCACTTCTTAACATATATTAAAACATTTGGTTTAGGCTGCTATTTTGTCTAAAGTAGATGATTGGACTGTTGAAATTCCCCATAGTTTTGAGGACTTTAATGAAGACACACTGTTTGAGGAAAGAAGGGGATTTTATTCATGCTTTCAATTAAGTGATTTTAGATGGGTCGTGCTTACGGAATTGAGCACTTGAGCCCGGCTGTCTTTTCCCGCCGATGGTGATAATGGACGGAAGAAATATTCAAGTTGACTCTGCACTATATTTCTATTGTGTGAATTAATAAAAAGTTAAAGAGAATCTCAATCTTTCTTTATGAACTTGCTTATTGCACAAAAGTTGTTGAGGTTTTTGATGCGACTAATTGGTAACTTTTGTAACTTAGGCCAGGAGCTGCCCTAAGGACCTGACTCCTAGACTTTGACTGGCCCAGATTTGCTTGGGTCTGTTTATGATAATACTGCATAAGCCCAAGAATTTCAAGATTGTAACAAGATCGACAAATGTCGATTGGTTATAGATAGAACTAATAAACTTAATGTTGCATAAATAGGACTATCTATACTAAATAATACTGCATTTATTAGGTTGGTTACTAATTCTTTCACCCAAATTCCTAATTAAATAAGTCTCAAGCTACCAAATGAAATACGATTTTTTTCATTAGGTAGGCCAATCATTTCTCTTGCAGATTACTTTTGAAAGTTTTTGAAAAGCTTTGTTGCGAAGGTTTTTCATTAGCAAAAAGCCGATTGCAAAAATGACAAAGTCCGATGATGTGATTTGAGCCTTTTCTTTCAATGAAACCTATTTTGATTACAAAATAAAAAAGATAGCGCGCAAAAAGTTAGGTCTACAAACAAAATTTCAGAATAATCCGTTTAGCGCTTTTCTTTATATGCTCATTTTTCAATATTTTGGAAAATACCAGTTTTCGTTCTCGCAGGTTATTCTAAAATACTAAAAATTGTTTAAAGATGACAAAAAAGTGAGCGATAAACATTTCTAATGAAAGAAACCGTTTGGTATGTAGTAGTTTAAGACTCGTTCAGATAATGAAATGAAAGGTCCAAAACTTAGTACTCAACCTAATATTAAGATGAGACACTTGACCACCCGGCTACCCGTGCTTGTCGTCCCAAATCCATTCATTGTCCCTGGTGGCTTCTTTCCAGTTTACTTCTACTGGGACTCGTATTGGATCATAAAAGGTATTCAAATTTTATCTTAAGTTCTAATCTTAATGTTGATATCCCCTATCCGACGGAAAATTACGGAAATCTCGACGAATTTTTTGAATTTGAAAAACTGAAAACTGAATTTTGTGCGAAAAATTTTCGTATCGAGGGGTTAGGGCGAGATATTTGAACATAATCTGTAAAGAATTTCGTTTCAAAGTCACGGGGTCGGCAAAATTCCGACCGGTTGAGTTGGATGAGTGGAAAAAGCTGCAAACCGTTGACGATTTCACGAATCTTAGAATCTTAGTAGAAAAATTCCAATTCATGGTTTAAGCGAAACTTTGTTGTACGCTTTATTGAAGAGCCGCATTGAGATAGTTGAAAGTCTGTCGAATGACGGACTTCCAGAGTGTTTCCCGATGTGGATCGTGAGAAACGGATTGCCCAGTGAAAACGAGAATTGCTCGATTCTTATTTCCGTTCCATTTTTTCCGCAAATTGATTCGCAATTAGATCGTTTACTTCCAATCCTTTATTGAAACATGAGGAAGATGTGGAGATTTGCAGAAAAATCGAGCTGGAAATGAGAGAAAGAACGCATGAGAAAATTAGGAACCTGATTTCAGTACAGTGCTTTCGGAAGAGTGATTTCGTGGATGATTTGAGATTTTGCTTGGGATTCGAGAGGGAAGCGGAATTCGTGTATTTCTTTGTGAAACGATTGAAGTAAGGCTTGTGTTTTTTCTGATTTCTGATTCAGACCAATTTTCGAAAACTACCATAATCTTGACTCTAGTTTTATCAAATCGATGTACTATTTAAATCTTTTGGTGTGTTGGAACGGGTCATCAATAAGCAGATCAAACATAAAAGTACAGATTAAGGTGTTATGGTCAAGCTTACGGTATTCAGAGTCAGGATTAGGGTCTTTCCCGGTTTTAATTTAAAATTTACCACAAAACTTTATAGTACTTTATGACCTGTTCGTTTATCGGTCTTATTGTCAATAGATCTGCAACAGAAAAACGAGATTTGATCACAGCAATGGCAACTTTCTCTGCACTTCTTCCTGCACGAAGGTTGAATTTTCGAAGCTCTATCTTTTGGTTTAAAAATCTTTGAAAAATTAGCCGTTGAAGTAGTCGAATCTCGTTTTTCCGTTGTACACCAAATTGACAATCAGACCGACAAATCAACAGCTCTAGTAGGCTATAGTTTCAAGAAACTTTGACAACGTTGAAAACAAGCATCACTTTACAGTTTAAGGTTTTGAACAGGATTTGTAAAAAAGTAATGCTTCTTGGTCAGCTTATAGCTTATAATTTTCTTGTAACATTATTGTTTCTTAGGAATTCACGTAAATTGGTTTGAAGATCGTGCCAGAATTCAGATTTATCATTACTTTCAAAAATTTACCCTTTAAAAAAGTGTTAGAGTTTAAGTTGAACGGATACAGCAAATATTAACTGTTAGACTTGAGATTCTTCAAACAAACTGAGCAGCCATCCTTTTAGAAAGTAATCAGAAATCGATACAGTGCTGGCTCAAGGGCCATCGAGATCGTACTTGTCTGAATCTCGCCTGATTTGGTTGGATCAAGTGTAAAGTAGTTAAAGATAGTGCCTGAATTCCTCTTTATTATTTGTTCATTTAACAAGTTCGAGTTTAAATTGAAATTGAAATTTTCCTAGATAGTCATTGAATTTGTGTTTGAATAGAATTAATTTATTCTTCGATCTCTACAATTTCCCTCTTCTTTCAATAAGTTTACTATGTGTCATTTTGTAAATTAAACATTTTCCGTTGTCACTTTTTCATGCTTACATAAATAAAGTAATGATATACAGCTCAAAAAGATATCACATTTGATTATTGTAGCCAAGCAAACACATTTTGTCCAATTTTGAGGCCAGATTTGGATTTATCATAGTCGAATTAAGCGGTGAAACTCATTCTATCGTTTTCCCGAAAGTTTAACGCTGTTTTCTCTTAAAACGACTATTCGTAAGTGCTATTCGATGCGAAAAAATGCCCTGAATACGAATTTAAATGAATTTTCAGCAACAGTTTGACAGATTTTTCTTTTAAATCGAAAAATCTCGAAAAAATCGCTTTTTTCAATATAAACAACAAAATTGCCTCCCTTTTACAGGCTGGTTCTTGGCGAAAAAAATTTGGTGAGCGTCCCATACCAAATTTTGATGCTCCAGTGTCTTCTGCACATTTTGATACCAAAAATAGATTAATTGTGTGAATCTTTGAAATGTTGATGCCTTTTGAACGCAAAAATAGAGTTGTTCAACTTTCTGCGCGCTAAAGCGTGGGTAAACTACCGTAGCCTTTACAAAAAAACGCAAAACTATGAAACGAATGTATCTTTATTAATTTCTTCACTTTTTATCAAAATTTGGGCTCCTTTTCTTATTATTTACATAATTTTGATTGCAACTAATGATTTGTGTTTTACAGATAAAAGAACGATAACTGGCACGTCAAAGAACAACTCAAATTCACAATGAGGATTTTATTGTTATCTTTTCATGATTTAAGGGTGCAAATTCAGATATGTTTAGCTAAACATATAATTGCCAATATCATTTGATAAAAAAACAAAAAGAATCTTGCTGCGAGTGGGGGTTCGAACCCAACATCGTGTCTGAATAAGCTCGGTTTTAGCATATCATACAAAAGGCGCACGAGTCTAGTAATAGTCTAGTAATTTTAAAATACAAGCATTTCATATATTAGGTTGGCAAAAAGAAATGAGCGTCGTGTTTGTTGATTTGTATTTTATTCACAGTAAAAGATTTTTTAAAATAGTTTATTCTATTGGAAAGAGCGTGTTCTTGCGCATCGTTTGATATATAATTTGTCTATGATTACTTTGTTTTTTTGCAAGAAAGAGTGTTTAGAAAATGTCGGACCAAAAATTTCGTTTGCGGGCCTGCTTGTGGTATGAATTTAAGCAAGGCAAATCGGCTGCTGAAGCTTATGGCGCTCTATCGCAAGTGTTTGACGAAGATGCTCTATCCGAAAGTCAGTGTAAACGATGGTTTCTGCGCTTCCGAGACGGCGACGAAAGCTTGGAAGACCAAAAACACGGGAGTCGACCTCAAATCATCGACAACGACGCATTGAAGGAAGCCATTGAGTCGGATCCACGCCAAACCACTCGCGACCTGGCAGTTCGGCTGCACTCATGTCATCATTGAGAACCATCTGCATGGCATGGGCAAGACGAATAGATGCGGAAAATGGGTACCGCATAAGCTATCCGACGCAAACAAGGCGACACGCATCGCAATCGCCGGAATTCTCACTCACCGCGCCAAGAACAGTGGGTTTTTCGACTCCATTGTTATGTCGGATGAGAAGTGGATCCAATACGGCAACACAGCAAGAAAGCGGCAGTGGTTGGACCCCGGTGAAGCTCCAAAACCGGACATCCACGGAAAAAAGGTGATGCTTTGTGTTTGGTGGAACAGTAAAGGCCGGGTGTACTTTGAGGTTCTGGATTCGGGTCAAACAGTTACGGCGAACCTCTACCAAGGCCAATTGGACCGCGTGGACCAGGCGCTGCGACGTCAAGGTGTGGATACGGCGTCGACAAAATTCCTCCACGACAACGCTCGGCCGCTTGTCGCAAAAGTCACCCAGCAGAAAATTGAAGAAATGAGCTGGGAAGTCCTGCCTTATCCGCCATACAGCCCAGACTTGGCACCTTCTGACTACCATCTGTTCCGATCAATGCACCACTCCTTGGCCGAGAAAAAGTTCAAGAACCGCGACGAGGTCCAAATTTGGGTGTCCAACTTCTTCGAGTCGCAGCCGGTCGAGTTCTTCAAGAAGGGCATCCATTCTCTGCGTGAACGTTTCATTCATGCAGATGGCGAATACCTTTTGGATTAATGTATTGTTATCTTGTTTTTATAATAAAATAAACTTTTAACGAAAACGCGCATTTCTTTTTTGCCAACCTAATATATAGCAGAGTGTAACAAAAAATTTTGTTACACTCTGCTATATATATGACACGCTTGTGTTTTAAAAAAAGAATTATGGTGGAAATGATTATGATGCAAGCATTCTGGAGCTTTTTAATGTCCCATCGCAATTAGTTTTGATAGGCATGAAATTGAAACCAAATTGGCATGAAAATAAATGCAAATTTTAAAGCTAGTTTCGTTTTACAACCCTAGTAACTTTTTTACAAGGGTTGTAACCAGTTTTACTGGGCCGGTTTTCGCTATTTACTACCCCAGGAAACAACTTTTTAAAAAGCGTCCCGAAAGTGAAAAAATCATTCTGGTCAGTTATATTACCGCCTTCAAAACGAAGCAACTCCATGCTGTGATGGCCGAGTGGTCTAAGGCGTTGGACTTAAGTTCCAATGGACGCAAGTCCGCGTGGGTTCGAACCCCACTCGCAGCAAGATTCTTTTTCTTTTTCAAATGATATTTGCAATCATAAGTTTAGCCAAATATATCTAACTCTACGCTCTTAAATCATGAATACTGTAAAAAACATAACTTAATAAAATCCTCATTGTGAATTTGAGTTGTTCTTTGACGCACTTATCTCTCTTCAACCTGTAAAACACAAATCATTAGTTGCAATCAAAATTATGTAAATAACAAGAAATCGGGCCAAAATTTTGATAAAAAGTGAAGAAATTCATAAAATTCACTTGTTTCATAGTTTTGCGTTTTTTGTAAAGGCTACGGTAGTTTACCCTCGCGACCACTGCCAGGTCGCGAGTGGTTTGGCGTGGATCCGACTCAATGGCTTCCTTCAATGCGTCGTTGTCGATGATTTGAGGTCGACTCCCGTGTTTTTGGTCTTCCAAGCTTTCGTCGCCGTCTCGGAAGCGCAGAAACCATCGTTTACACTGACTTTCGGATAGAGCATCTTCGTCAAACACTTGCGATAGAGCGCCATAAGCTTCAGCAGCCGATTTGCCTTGCTTAAATTCATACCACAAGCAGGCCCGCAAACGAAATTTTTGGTCCGACATTTTCTAAACACTCTTTCTTGCAAAAAACAAAGTAATCATAGACAAATTATATATCAAACGATGCGCAAGAACACGCTCTTTCCAATAGAATAAACTATTTTAAAAAATCTTTTACTGTGAATAAAATACAAATCAACAAACACGACGCTCATTTCTTTTTGCCAACCTAATATATGAAATGCTTGTATTTTAAAATTACTAGACTATTACTAGACTCGTGCGCCTTTTGTATGATATGCTAAAAACCGAGCTTATTCAGACACGATGTTGGGTTCGAACCCCACTCGCAGCAAGATTCTTTTGTTTTTTTATCAAATGATATTGGCAATTATATGTTTAGCCAAACATATCTGAATTTGCACCCTTAAATCATGAAAAGATAACAATAAAATCCTCATTGTGAATTTGAGTTGTTCTTTGACGTGCCAGTTATCGTTCTTTTATCTGTAAAACACAAATCATTAGTTGCAATCAAAATTATGTAAATAATAAGAAAAGGAGCCCAAATTTTGATAAAAAAGTGAAGAAATTAATAAAGATACATTCGTTTCATAGTTTTGCGTTTTTTTGTAAAGGCTACGGTAGTTTACCCACGCTTTAGCGCGCAGAAAGTTGAACAACTCTATTTTTGCGTTCAAAAGGCATCAACTTTTCAAAGATTCACACAATTAATCTATTTTTGGTATCAAAATGTGCAGAAGACACTGGAGCATCAAAATTTGGTATGGGACGCTCACCAAATTTTTTTCGCCAAGAACCAGCCTGTAAAAGGGAGGCAATTTTGTTGTTTATATTGAAAAAGCGATTTTTTCGAGATTTTTCGATTTAAAGAAAAATCTGTCAAACTGTTGCTGAAAATTCTTTTAAATTCGTATTCAGGGCATTTTTTCGCATCGAATAGCACTTACGAATAGTCGTTTTAAGAGAAAACAGCGTTAAACTTTCGGGAAAACGATAGAATGAGTTTCACCGCTTAATTCGACTATGATAAATCCAAATCTGGCCTCAAATTGGACAAAATGTGTTTGCTTTGCTACAATAATCAAATGTGATATCTTTTTGAGCTGTATATCATTACTTTATTTATGTAAGCATGAAAAAGTGACAACGGAAAATGTTTAATTTACAAAATGACACATAGTAAACTTATTGAAAGAAGAGGGAAATTGTAGAGATCGAAGAATAAATTAATTCTATTCAAACACAAATTCAATGACTATCTAGGAAAATTTCAATTTAAACTCGAACTTGTTAAATGAACAAATAATAAAGAGGAATTCAGGCACTATCTTTAACTACTTTACACTTGATCCAACCAAATCAGGCGAGATTCAGACAAGTACGATCTCGATGGCCCTTGAGCCAGCACTGTATCGATTTCTGATTACTTTCTAAAAGGATGGCTGCTCAGTTTGTTTGAAGAATCTCAAGTCTAACAGTTAATATTTGCTGTATCCGTTCAACTTAAACTCTAACACTTTTTTAAAGGGTAAATTTTTGAAAG